GGTGGAAAACACAATATTTTCTTTTTTCAGCGTGTTTCCTATATTGGCCACAGGAGGGCGCCAATGCCCTGTTTCCCAATTCTGTTTTTGTTATAATGTTTTTATCTTTTCGCTACAAGGTGATTTTCTTTTCTCAACATGTTATTTCTTTTTTGTCCACAAGATGACACTGTTATCTCAGRCAGCTTTTATTTCTCTGTCTTTACGTTATTATTATGACTACAAAATGATAATGTTATCTGAATCGCTTTCTACCGTTTTGGCCACAAGATTGCACTGTTTTACCAGCTAAATTTGTTTTGTTTTAGTTTTGTTTCGTCTTCTGCCAGTGGTATCCCAGTTTTTAATAAAGTGATTTTTTTTTTTTCCCCTCTATTCTTATGTTTTTTTCTTTGTTGGCCACAAGATGGCGGTGTTTATCCATCATCTTTCCTAAGAGAAATAAATGTAAACCAGTTACTTTCCTCATGGGGTAATTGAACTCACCCGTCAAGATGWTCTCTTAGATGTTTTTTTATTTGTTTGTTTTGTTTTTTAGATTATTGAAGGACAATAAAGGCTTTCAGAGGAAGGTTATGTGTGAATGTGTTGATATTAAAGAAAAGGTTTGAGATGAAACATGATGTGGGGAGTGTGTGAAAGAAAGAGAGGGAGCGTGGAGGAAAACTGAGCTGAGATCTGAGAAACCCTCTCAGTGTGTGACTGGAAGCAGCATCACATGTGAGGGTTCCCTGCTGGAGTGTTTGTCCCAGAGTTTAATTTAGATGCAGACAGTTAAAGATACATTTCTCTGAATGAGGATCACATGAAGGTGGATGGATGTTGGGATGAAGGCACCATGAAGAGCTTTTCCCATCTCTGCTTGGTTTGGATTTTTCTGAGAGGAAGCTTTTTACTGGTGAGCGGAAAAACAGAGAATGCAGGAGGTGGTGAATACGTTGACTTTGTGTGACATTTTACAACACTTTTCTYAGTTTTAATTCTAAAAAACAACTTTATTTACAACACAAAACAGATTTTTTTCCTTCTGTTTTTATATGCCAGAAAGGCACAAGGATGCAGTCATTTCAGAATAAAGGCTTCATTATAATAATGGTACAATCATGGGAAAAGATCTGCTCCAGAGCTTAAAAAAAAAGAGTAGTTTCAAAGTGATTGTTTATTTTAGGTAAAATAAGATTTTAAATATTTTGAATATTTCTGAACATTTTTTTAGAAATAATTACATTTCACATCTCCACTGAGGTGAAAGAGTTTTTACTTGTGTTCATGTCTCATGAATCACTGAACATGTATTTAACATATTTGCTGAACTTGTCATCTCTTCTCATTTTCTGTCTAGTTGGTTCTCTCTGTGCACGGCTCAGCATCACCACAGCCCCACAAAGACCAGGMTGGTTCTGTGAAGATCTGGGCACTTCAGACCAGGAGCGTGACTCAGAACTCCCTGTCCAAGCAGGGACTTTGGGAGACCCTTGGAGGCACCTCTGAGCTCCACTCTGACCCGTCTGGGCCGAAGCTGCAGCCCATCGTGAAGGCTGCAGGAAGGTCCAAACTGTCCAGGACGTTCAGCTGGGGGGACTTCCACTCCAACATCAAAACAGTCAAACTCAACTTGCTGGTCATGGGGAAGATCGTGGACCACGGGAACGGCTCGCTCGGCGTCTACTTTCGGCACAACTCCACGGGGGTGGGCAACGTGTCGGTCAGCCTCGTCCCGCCCGTGAAAGAGGTGGAGTTCGACCTGGAGCGCCAGAGCGTGGTCCACCCCAAGGACTCCAAGGCCTTCAGCTGCAGGGTGGACTACGAGAAGACGGAGCGCAGCAAAAAGGTGATGCTGTGCAACTACGACCCGTCGAAGACCTGCGACCAGGAGCAGACCCAGAGCCACATCACCTGGATGTGTTCCAAACCGTCCCAGGTCATCTGCGTCTACATGTCCTTCTACAGCACGGACTACAGGCTGGTCCAGAAGGTCTGTCCAGACTACAGCTCCCAGACTGCAGCTCTGCCCACAGGCTGAACAGGATTTAAAAAGGAGAGGATTTTAAAGAAACTCTACCTTTTTTTCTGAATTTAGACAACCTTAGGCAGAACCGTGCTATAAGAACAAAGTAAATGTCAGGATAGATTAGTGTCTTCTTCTCACCGATGTTTTAAAACCAGGTAGCAATCGTCTGCTGTCAGAGGAGCGCTCATCGTTATGCATCTGGAGCTCCTGCAGCTCTTTACGTGTCAAAACGTCTTCAGCCAAGACAAACTGAGAACTCATCTGGCAGCTTTTGATTTGTGAACCAATGAAAACTTGTATAGCGGTTTGTAGAAACAATAAAGTTAGAAGTGCAGACCACCAGGTTTGATGAATTCTTAAACACAAGCCAGCTCTTGACTTACAGCTGCAGAATTATGAAGTAAAAATGTACATTATGTAAATGTAAAAAGCACTTAGTCATTGAAAACTTTTTGACTTTCAGTTTTAGTTGTTGGAGTAGCAACAAATTTGTTAAAAAGCTACATTTAAAAATTAGGTTTTATGAGACATAAAATAAATAAAATCACCCAGACAAAGATGAAACTGCATTCAATACAAAATAGTTGTGGTTTATTTTTCTGGAAACAAAAAAAATGGCAACAACTAAGTGTCACTTTTCAAAATCAGAAATATCTACAGGATAGAAACAACGGTTCCTTCTATCGATTACCATTTTCCACCAGCTTGAAATGAAAACTTCAGATCTTTTGTTGTGTGTGTGTGTGGCCTGTTTTAGTTTTTTTTATTCCACAATTCTGAACATTAAAACGTGTTCATTGTAGTTTCTTTTCCCTTTACTCGTTATGCCTGCAAAAAAACAACAACATCCACTTCTTTCAGTTTCACTGTTTAAAATGCTGTTGTTTCAAAAACACTCGTCTGTACAAATTCCTATGAAAAAAATAGAACAATTCTGAAGGGAGGAAGCAGGAAATAAAACAATAAAACATAAAACTAACACAAAATCTGTCACAACAGAACATCAACATGCCTGATTGAAACCTAATGTAACCATTTCTTGACATTTCCTCTACCTCTGTGGTCTCTTGGTGTGTTTGTTTGTTTGTTTGTTTGTTTGTTTGTTGAACATCGTTTTCCTCTGAGACATTTTCTCCAAGAGAATCATCCAGTTGTGCGTTGCTGTTTTCTTTTCTCTTCCGTTTCAAAGCAAACATGGATGCAGTTGAATGTTGGGACTGAGCTACACAAGAGTTCATGTGGTTTTTGTCACTTGCAGATAAATAATCTTAAAGGGTAGTTTGTTGGTGGTGGTCCAGCTGTTAGTCCATGAAGTTTGTTTCGTTGTGTGCTTGCCTACAGTATTTCTACATTACWGCTGGTCAGGGTTAGCAAGGGCTAATCTGTGACTTTAGTGCAACGTTTTCCCAAGTTTTTTGAAATTGTTTTCCCCYRTTTTTGCTTTTTTGGCTAGCCCTTGGTTGTCTTTGTTGGGGTTGTTTAGTTTGAAACTACAGACCCTCTACAGCTCATTAGTCAACAGATCCTCATGTCTTTAAGGTTGGGTGCCTCTCAGATCACCCTGTTACCAATACTAAGAGAATTATGATAAAACACACACTTAAAAACTTTATCGGCCACAGTACTTATACCTCCAGCTTTCCAGACAGTTTGGTTTTGGCTGGATTTGTGAGTCCAGTTCATTAGCACGATGTCTGAAGACGCACGGAGAACGACGATAATGTCAGAATCCACAAAGCCAGAGCTGCTGAGAAACAAGAGAGTGCTGAAGGGCCTTTTTGTTTTTTTTTTTGTAAACGATAAACATCCTTTTCACACGCTCAACTCTCCACTTCTCTTTCTTCTTCTTCTTTTTCTCTCCGTCATTAGGAAACTAAGATACAGCAGGTTGTGGACTGGACTGAAGGGGGAGGGTTAGAGGGCGGGGGCTCTAGGTAGTGTAGTAGTAACAGCAAGGGGAACGGCTATATCCCTGTGTGTTCGGGAGCGAGGGTAGGCCTGTGTGTGCGTGTGTGAGAATGAGTGTGTGTTGATGTCGTGGTGTGAGGCTGTTAGGACTGTTTGAGGCGCTTGCGTGGAGGTCCGAGGAAAGGACACTGGGCCGAAGCCAGAGAACGGTAAGCTTCAGCCACCAGGTGTGGATGAGACGCCACCATGGACTTCCAGCCTGCGGTCTCCATCACCTCTGCAGCGTGGCTGGAGGACACACAAAAACAAACACGTCACTTCATCAGCTAAAGTAAACCACAAAATTTGGCATAAAAACTGGGTTTAATGTATGTGCACAAAACGTGTATGTAAATTACATAAAAACTTTTAAAACCATCGATTACATCGATTTCAAAAAACTCGTTAACACAGAAATTTATTATTAAATATTTGTATTATTATTTAACCATAAATGTTCATTTGTAATACACAAATATACAAACTGCTGGGGGCAGAATTGCTTCTATTGCCTGTGGTTGCTTTGTTTACTGTTAAAGACTAGGTGGGTGTGTAAAGCACAGAAGACGACGCAGCGTGCACATCAAAGAGCGAACAGAATGATGATCACGTGGAGGAGGCAACAAACACAACACTTATGCTGCGTTCCATTTACATCGTATTCSCAGAACTGGTAAATGGTAGTGACGTCATTTCCCAACAAACCATATGAAACTGCATTCCAGTTGCCGCTAAACTCGCTACAACACTGCTACAATATAAACAATGACAAAATGAGAGCTCTACTACGTACGTCACGCAAATAAACATTGATTTTATTAAGTACAGTATTGCACAGAAAACACACTACTTGTGCGAGTGATTAACATGCACAAAAAAATTAAGATAATTAACAGTAAATGTTACGGAGTTAACTTTATAAAGCTGCAAGCAGCCGCCATCTTGAAATCGTAACTGGGGGCAGTTTCATTTCTTCCACTATACCAGTGGAATATTACCACTGGAGGGAGGCGTTCCAGTTTAAATCTACCAATGGGAACAGGGACATTACCACTTCCCAGGACTACTGGAATGCACCATTAAACTTACAATGGTTGGTTACATTTTACTGAACATAAACCAAAGAAAGTAAAATGCAGACTCTTATTCCACAGCAGTAACATCATGATCACCTGAAACATTAACTACAGCCATGATTATGTCCTCTGCAGATGTGTAAAGGACTCGACACGTGGGCAGCAACAAACTACAGCGATTAACGGCTGTCATCGCAGCCAGGGTGAAACCCGACACATGCGATAGCGATTGCAGCGTTGCGAATCGCGCTCTCAGGTCGCTTGTCTTCACAAAGTTTGATTGGTTCTTGACTCTGAAGGCGGGTGTGCATTACGGACGTGTAAACTAAACAAATCTTGCGATGCTAATGATATTGAAAAACAAACACACATAAAGATACAGTTTTATGAGGAAAAACTTACCACAAACTTCACCCTGGTGCCAATAAATTCCCACAAAGCTTTTTAGTAATCACTTGGTGAAAGTGTTAGCTAACGGCAGTGTGTAGCATACTCTCCTCTCATTGGTCAGTCAATGAAACCCTCGCTGATTGGTTGTACGCTAAGCGACAGCGACAAAAGTTGAACATTTTTCAACTTTCATATGTCGCGTCGCAAGCTCGCGTGTGCAYGTGTACGAGTGCGAAATTTCACGTGCACTATTTTCGCCGGTCGCTTAGCTGGAGGAGGGCAAGCGATTGTCGCCTCACCGCACAGGCTCCATTGGAAATGAATGGAGAGCGAGCGACGTCGCCTCCCGTGTGTCGAGCCCTTAAGTTTCAGAAAGTTAGCTTGTGCGTCAGGTTGATGCCTCGTAGATCTTATTTTCAGTGATTGATCACTTTGTGCTTAAAACAACTGTAAGCTTTGTTAATTTACCATCAGAAAACARTGTTTCTTGGAAGCAGAGCTATCAGTAATGCTAACGTTTGCTAAAGCGTGAAGTGCCATCATTTTAAATAATTGTATTATAGTTCTAATCCATCCTACTTCATCTTCTMCTGTTTTATTTTTATTTTTTATTTTGTTCCAATTAAAGCCTTATTTGAACTTTTGGTCTGCTAGAGTCAGTGAGATTTCAAACAGGATGAATTCATTTTTACTTTCTGCACCTGAATGTCACTTTAAGTTATTCTTTAGTTTATTTGGAACTTACAAAGCTACATCTACACCCTACACCTACATTTGTACATTAGCTCTTTGTTTGTTTTTAAACTTGCAGTTTAATTTGTATTTAATTACATTTTTTATGATTGAATGTATTAGAAATCCATGTGATCAAGCTTAAGCTTTATGGGTTTATTTTAATTCGCTGTGGAAACTTGTGTTAAGGTAGAGAGACTGGATAACAGGGTGACATTCTCAGGTGTGAGCAGGTGAGATGAGAGGTGGAACAGGAGGTGCGCCCACAGGAAGAGTAGATGGACGTTGTGACAGAAATAACAGTGACTAATCAACTAATCAATTAATTAAATAGAAAACAGATTAATCGACTAACAAAATAATCTGTAGGTGCAGCCTTATTAAATTTACAAAATTTCTGATACCTCCAAAGAATTTTCTATCATTACTGTGTATCAGAAAAAGACAAGTACATAAGTTATTTTAAACCAAGACTTTTTTTTGTCTGGAAATTGTTAAGAACTTTTTTTCACTATTTGTCTGTTTTTTCTTATAAACATCAACCACCACACATAAAGCATGTGTGAGTTAGAGAGCTGCACAAACACGTGTGCAGAGTCATTATCACACATCCATCTGAAGCAACAGAGGAGGCGTCAGCAAACCCAGCGAGAAGTCAGGATGCCCCGATCCTTCAGCAAGACTCCACAGAGATTAATAATATCTGAGCCACCACTTCAAAAGGTGCACCCATGAAATTAAATCATTAACGGTGACAAAGACGCTAAAAGATGAGACAGGAAGGAAAGACTGAGTCATAAAGATGGCAGGATGAAGGAGAGAGGAAGGAAACAAAAGTGACACAACAGAGACGAGATGTACAGCGAACAGGCCGAACCTGTGAGTCGACAAAAAAAAAAAAAAAGTGCCGGAAACCCAATTATAGGTGAAAGGAGCTCTTTTCTGCGTGCGAACTTACTAGTTGATGAAGTCGACGGCCTGCGTTTTGAGCTGGTCGGCGCTGTGCAGATCAGCCAGGATGAGAATCTCGGCGGCATTGTCCACCGACAGACTGGTGCACAGGGCGTCTTCACACATGACCTTCAGTCTCTCTAAAGCATACTGCAAGAGACCAGGCACAGAAAGATCAGTATAAAAGCAGCTTGGTTTTACTGTCAAGAGGGTCACATGTTAMCATCTAAATAGCTGGTAATTAAGAAATAAACTGACTATAAATGTTGTCTCAACCTCAACGTGACGTCATATAGCTTCACTGCAGGGCGAGGTCAGAGTGAAATCTGAATAACTTTCCATGGCAATCTTCAGTTCATACTTTGTTTTTGTGCCATATAAAACCTTTCCTTTAAGGTCATCCCACTCAAGCTTTACATTTTGAATGAAACAACATATTTCCACTACCATCAAAAATAAAAGCCATGATTTAAATGCTAAAAGATAACAACTAATAAAATGTCACTGTATCTGTTGCTGCAACGTTTTACTCTAATGTCTGACACACTCTTTTAATTTGTTGGTCCATTTCACCACTTTTACAGCGTTGGTATTACTGCACTAATAAATCACCTTATCAGCTGCTGCAAGCAGATCGTCGGCCATCTTGTCCAGGTTGGGAGCCTTGTCTGTGTAAATAAAACACATCATCTCCTTGAACACTTCGGGCTCCACATCGTTGATCTCCACACGGTTCTGAGAGAGAAGAAACAAGAGGTCTGTAGCTGTGTTTCCATTGACCATGAAAATGCACAAATTAGAATTTCRAAAATAAATTTGCTCAATGGAAACATCAATTTCGAAAAAAATTAAATTTTTCGACTAGGCACTAGGAAGAGGTGGTTTTTCAGCCGTATTGAAATTGATGTATTTCGCAAAACTGCAATGGAAACACTTTTTTCACATCACAGGAGTCACGTGATCAACAACCAGCTGTTTCTACTGGCGAAAAAGAGGAAGAAGAAGATAACAGGAAGTAAAAGTAGTAGTGAAATCACCGAAGTAGTAAAAGTATTAAACTCAACGACTACATTTTCCCAAAAATGCTGCATATGTAGCCACTCCCAAGTATAAGGGGCTTGTAGCTCAAAAGCATCGATAAGACGCCGACGTCTCCTCTGATGGCTAATGATGAGCGCTAGTAACATGGTAGCAATATGCTATGTGTTTATATCCATCGCTGCCATGTTTGTAATGACTTATCACGAGAACAAACGTATTCACACGTGACTTTAATAGCATTTCTCACTTCATGGAAACACTGCAGTTGTGAAACTGTTTTTTCAACATTAACAGAATATTGACAAAGTTTTGCGCACATTTGCAATGGAAACACAGCTAGTGTGATAACATAGTCTTCGTGTTTTGAGATTAGTTTTTTCTCCATCCTCTGGCTCTTTACACCCCAACCCCGAGTACCAAAATAAACCATGAAGGACAAGTGGTCAACATGACATATTTAAAGTAATCCTTCATCAAATCAACCTATAATTTGTTCTACAGGTTTCAGTAGAGTGGACACTAGTCTTCTACAAAATCATTTCATGTGTGATTAGTTGTCAGAAAATCTATCACCCAGTATTTTTTGCCACTTTGCAATTACTGATTAATGCTTCATGATGATGATGATGYATTTTTGTGTGCAACATACTCTCAGTATCAAGTGTCCAAGTGAGTCCATGTCATAACAACGTTGGGGCATAGTGGCACAGAGCAGCTAACACCACCTCTAAGGCCCAGTCCCAATGCTCAGTGCACACTATGCCCCTCTGTGAAGTGTGGATTCAGTCCAAGTGCACATACAGGTGCTGGTCATAAAATTAGAATATGATGAAAAAGTAGATTTATTTCAGTAATTCCATTTAAAAAGTGAAACTTGCATATTATATTCATACATTACATACAAACTCATATATTTCAAATGTTTATTTCGTTTAATTTTGATGATTACAAATG